CCAGAAGTTAGGCGGCAAATGCTGTACAATGGGAGTTAAATTTTCGGAGAAAAAGACTGCCCAGAATTCGAGCGAATAACCTAAAGCACACATAATAATAACATTATATCTGATTACAAGTTTGGCTCAAAGAAAAAAATTCACAATGTACCAGGTGTCAATAATCAAAGCAGTAAGTAAACTTAGTCTCTTACAAGCGATTCCAAGCGAAACGTTGCCAACACGAAAGATAAGAGAGGGACCTGCAGAGAGGGAGAGGCATTCTGAACGCAATACAAACTTTTATTATTATTTTATTAAATAAAAAGTGTCCGTCAAGTAGGACGGAGTAAGTTTTTCTGCCGCATGGTGTTGTCGGAAGCTCATGCCTGTCTTCTGTCTTCTTCCTCTGCATGTCACCCAATCAACAACCGATAATTTACTGAGTTGAGTAAAAAGGTGTCGCCCCATATATTTTCTAACTGCTTCGATAAACAACTACTAATTGCTAAGAAACCGTATTAATCGATAGCTTACCGATAATCGGTTAACGGTTATCTGCTTATCGGGCTTCCCTTAAATGGTATTGGTCTGAGAATATTATAATGTCTATAGTCGGACTTGAATTGCTCACACCTCGAAAGTCAACAACAAGCGATTGTTTTGAAAAATTTCAATACTTTGAAAATTTGTTCAAACATTTCAAGCGTCTAATCTACGATGACTGGCAGCGAAATCGAAATTTTCGAAAGGACTTAAGTCCACTCAAAAACTGTAAATGAACGAAAAGTCTTACATATTATGCAATATTTCTTTTTTCATAAAAGGAATATCACGATTTAACGGTTTCTTTGAAAATGAGAATAGAAATTTTCAAATACACAATTTTATATATATACTGATATAAAAATAGAAAAGGAAGTCGAAAATACATAACTAATACTTTTGTACTATATTTAAAGCTTTGAAATCTATTTCAATTCTCGCACAATGTAACGGGACAAGCAATCGCTCGGCAAGCGATTTCAATGCAGTGCATAAATGTCAAATATTGATAAGAAGAGTGAAGTCTATGCCTGCGCCAAGAGCTAATTAAATGAAATTATGAATTACATTTGCTTCAAGCGCTTTTTACATTTCTTAATTCTCATTTCTAACTTTATCTTAATGCAAGACTTATCACTTATAGGGTTTCGTATTTCCTTAAGAAAACAATAATGAAGAGAAATGAATAAATCAGAAAGTTAAAGAAACTAGAGAGATAAGCGTAAGTGAAAATATTTTAATGTTCGTTCATTTTGAAGCGAATTTTGAATACCTTCTTCCAGTCAAGTTTAATGTTTTTTTTTTCTATCATTTTTATAAACACAAATATTGTAATATCAATAAAGATGGAACGAAGAAATCCGTGATTCGGCATATTAATCGTATAACATCGATTTTCGATAATCGATTAGCGGTAAACTCCCTGATTCGATGTTGCTGACTTTTAGGATCGATTAATTGGATTAATTGGATCAACGATAAATCGAAGGCGTAACCTTAATCTCTAAAGTGAAAATAATCCATTATTAAAACTAAGTTAATTTGCTAGTCGAACTTAAGCTAACACGAGTGATAAAAAGTTTGAAATAAAAGCATTCTTCTCGATAAGGCAAAGCTTCGCAGATCATAATAATGATTTTAAGGTCGAATAAATTTCGACATAAATCAATTCCGCGATTCACGCTAAACAAAAATCTGAATACTATATAAAGCATATATACCTATACATATTTTATAAAATCATTCATATATCACTCTATACTTATTGTCTATGAAAATTCTCTGATCTTAACATGACTCTATTGCGTTAACATACAGCTTACAACTATAATAAAAAAATGAGAGCCTTTAAAAAAAAAAAAAAACGAAGAAACTCCATATGCAAGTGTAATGTAACAAAGAAAATGCAGACGTTTATATCATTTTTACATTTAAATGGTTGCAGTCCAGCTGTGATCATTCAATTTTCATTTCATAAAAACTCAAGACTATTCGGATTAACTTTAATTTTGTTATTGTACAGCATCTAAAGTAAACTAAAGCAACTGAAGATTTATAAGAAGAGTTGAGGAGTTGAGGTTTGATTGAATCATTCGTTTACTTCTTTTCCATACTCGCTAAAAAAGGTACACTACACGTAGTTTCTCAATTGTTTTATAGAAACAGACATCGAATACTCCCATTATGTTCGCAGCCTTTCTTTCTGTGTCAATCGATTGGAGAATTTCGCCATCTTCGTCTACTTAATTCTCATTTAGATGAAAGTATGCGCATAACCTCAAATTTTTACCTAGACTAGGCAAAAGACAAAACTCTTTGTTTTTCTTTCTTTTTCCTTTCCGCTATGTATACCGGAACCGTAAATTATAGTACCTCTTCTTTTTTAGCATACAATCTTAAACTTTACTGTAGAGTTTAAAATTGGCTCATCTGCATTTTTCCTTACTGATAAATCTTCAATAGAAATGTGGAAATCAGCCGAATTGGCTCAAAGCGTCGTTCCTATATCCGAAAAGTATTCAAAAAGTATTCAAAAGTAAATATGTTTTTTATTTTATACAAGGTTTCTGTACAGCTCTGCTGAATTGCATAATTCCCTCCGTCTTAGAACGGGATGGACAAAATAAGATGAACATCTGACATATACACATTCAACTCTTTTTTTTCTAGACCAGATACGTTCCTTAAAAGACCGTGCAAAAAAAATCGTGTAAAAAAATACAGGCAACATATGGTAAATTTGTGAATATGTTCTGCGTAATATGAATAAACTCTAAATATTTTTTTTAAAAATAACAAAATGCATATTATATATTTATACAAAAACAATAATTCAGTTTTATTTCGAAAAAGAAAAAAACTTTAATTAGTGTACAGTGAAAACTCAGTTCATAAATTCAATATAAATTAAAATTTAATTAGAACTTAAATTGAAAGTCGATATTAGGAACTATATCCGCCTGAGTGGCCGACTAGGCAAAGAGTCTTGACTAACAACACAACGGTCGTAGGATCAAATCTCTCAAGTATGCTAGAGTTTTCAAAAAAGCCGATAGCCTTAGATCTTAGTACTTTAAGATTTTAGTCTTCGAATTTATTATACACATGGTATAGAACAGTATCTACTCACTGCTAGTATCTTCTGCTCTTGTCTTAAGCCACTTAATTCGTTGACAATAAATTTTCAAACTTAAAAATTGGATATGATTGCGTAATCGCTTATATCCCATCAACCATATCTTAACAGTTTATGTTAGTAAAGACTCGCTTTGTCATGTAATATCAGACGTATTTCGCTTCTTCTATTCTTCCTTAGAATATAGTCTGGTCATAGCTTTTTTCAGTAGGAATTTTTTCGAGGTTACAGGTCTTTAGGAACGATTCTATTCTGTTAAACTGTATTTCGAAAATTCTGAAAGCATTTTTGTGATTAATTCATGTTTATTGTCCCATTTCGCTCTTTCCTTAACATTATTGCCTTCATTAAAGGTAAAAATATGCTAATTATGCTCTTCCAATATATAACAAAGAAAAAAAAAAAAAAATCTCTTCTTAACATACACTAAGAAAAGCAAAATAAATGACTTCTTAACTTCACTTGCATTCCTAAGTTCGCCTAGGTGATTACAGACTGTGTATATACTTTCTCCCTTCACCTTTTATTCTAAATGATTGGGAAAAAGAACAGATTATCCCCCGGTCCATCGCCTAGGTAATAAACTAACTATATACAATTTAATGGACTTTCTCTTAATGATTATATCGCCCTGGCATATACATATACATGAGATGTATGTTAGTAATTAAAATATTTTCTTAAAAAACTTCATTTTAGAAATAGCTTTAAACTTTAAATGTACAAAAAATATCTTTTAAAAACTTCATTATTATAAGTTATAGCATAGCATAGCATATAGAATTTTTATAAACATTCTACGTTGCCTCTGTGGTGAAGAAGATTTTATAGCCTAAGAGAAACAGAACGCAGATCATGTTGCTTTGTTTTTTTTCTTTTTTTTTTTTTTATTTATGATGCCAAGAAATCAGTCATTTTAACTATACAAGAAAAGTAAAAAAAAAAAATATGAAAACTCAAACGTATACACTGTAAATAATCGAGATAAATTACACTGAAATAAATTAATTTGTCATTTGTGTTTTTTATAACCTAATTTAATTGCCGTTAAATTTCAGTTAAACTATTATGAATATTTATTGGTTCCGATTTATGTCAGTTCATTCATTTATCCATATATACAAAACACTGGGATGACTTAGATAATACCTAAGGTTAAAGACTTAACCTAGTTATAATTAGAGAAAAAAGGATTCTTAAATTTATGCATAGAAGAATAAGAAAAAGAAAATCATATACTTATGTAGTCCAGCCGTGCACTCACAGCTGATGTACATCAAATGCGAGTGTACCACGTGAACAATGAATCACTGTAAACAGCAAAAATCATATAACATTATTTAGGGTATTACCGGATCGTAACGGTGCAATAATACTTATAAATATTGTTTTAAGCTCGTTTAATTTTAGTTGACTTTAGCTTAAGCTAAGGTCATTAAAGGGAATAGCTTTAATGGAGCTACGGGATCCAATGACGAAAGATCAGCTTATGTGTACAAAAAAGCGAAAAACCGCGACAAATGGAGAGGAATATTAAAGTTGACCTCCTTGGTAGAGGGACATAGGCCTTCAAATTAAATTTTTCGAAACTGTATGACTGTACAACTTGGGCATATGCCGCAAATATTTTTCTCGGTGTAATGCTTTCAATATCTTAAAGACAGGTTGTTTACTGAATACCTTTAGGGTACTTTTTTTTTGTTTTGACTTGAAATCTGTGCATTGTTTACATTTTTTAAGCTTAAAAACCAATTTGAGGAGAATTCTTTAGGTGATTTTTTTTTCACATTTTTTAAGTAAGAAGCGATGGTAAAAAAGAAGAAGAAATTTAAACGCTTACCTGACCGAAATCAATGGTTAAATTGACTTCATTGAATTTCATACCACGGGACAATGGAGGACTTTGCCACCACGATTCTGTACCATCGATTGCATGTTCGGGAGCATGATTCTTTTCGGGTATAGTAGGATCGCAGTAATCGCAAACCTTAAGGGGAAAAAATAAAACGAAAAACAAAAAGATGAAGAAATAAACAACATTTTCAATATCATTGCATTGAAAGTTACTTAATAATAATACATTAAGATAATAATCCATTTCTTTGTTGTTTTTTTTAATTAAGGAAATGTATATGCCCATCAGTGAATAGGGTTTTCCAATCAAGTGCACTTTCTCCACAAAGTAAATGTATCCACCACAGAAGATATATCGGATTTGCCGATTATTTGTAATGCATCCTTAGACCATATCGTATAAAGCGCTCTAATCCTTGCTAACGATAAAAACAAAACTAAAAGAAAGCAATATTCAATTTGTCTGTCTGTCGGTCGTTATCTTAAATTTTTCTCTCTTTTTTTTTTTTTCTTACATTCTCTTCGATCAGTATTATATGACTTTTGGTGAGTTCAGGACTCTCACTCTTATTTAACCTCAAACTCACTTACGCCTAGAAACGCAGTCGTAGTAGTTTGATGTACGATATTTCTGCTTTTTGTTTTTAAAAGAAAAACTTCCCCGATACATGTATTTTTTACTGATTCGAAAAAAATTAATATCTGATTGGATTGTGTAAATATTCTTAAATTCATATATAAAAAATGTCTGAGGCATTGATGTTACCGCAAGTCTCTGTTTTTGGATTTCATATTCGGGTTTTCGTTGGTACAGCTATTAAGGTGGGATCCAACAGCTGAGATGTCATGCCATAAACCTGTCTTTGGATACGATTTTAGATCAATTTTATACCTCTGCTTTTAATCTTCGTTCTTCTATCTTTTCTTAAGTTCTTATATACGTTGATGTTATTGAATTACGTGTAATATTGTAATGTGGACCTAATACCGAAATTACTTTCAAAATTTATATTTCGAATTGAAATTTTTATTCATGTTTAGTAGTTTAATAAAATTTTGTAAAACTATGGGAAGCTTAGGTTAGCTTAGGTTAGATTAGGTAAGCACTAGGGTGACCAAATCAAATAAAATTTTCATCGCCGTTTATGGGCAGATTTTAATGTGGCCGGAATTAACAACATATAACATTCATTATTGCGTAACGGGAATTAGCAAAATAAATAGAGCTGAGAATACCCTTGGCCCGCTGATGTACACCACACGGCGAGTCGTCCCGTTCAGTTTTGTTATCCCACCTCGTGGAAATAAACGTTAATCCTCCACTCTCTGTGGAGGCGAAGCACCTCGTCCGGTGATCAACTTTTAATCCACTATCGCGTAGCATATGCGGCAATTAAAATTTAATGCTTCTTAATAGATTTAATAAATATTTTAATATTTCTTTGTTGTTTTTGCTTTATGAAAAAAATATTCTACCTGGCCTTGTATTACTGAGTAGTCGATGTGATCATTTTCTGTATTTGCTCCTACTAATTTACAATACAACTCGGGACCATCGGTATCCATGCCACATGTGGCGGTTGCATAAATCTTACGTCCAGTCGCTAAATTGAAATATGGCGGAGTTAATTCCGCTTTAGCATTGCTTATCAAGTAATGTAATATTAAAGTCACAACCGCACCGGCAGGGCATAATGATATATGGCGTTTAAGGACCATGATAACAAAAAATACAAAATTTTTAAAATTTCTTATCCACTCTCACACACTATTCATTTATGTATTTTTAGAAAAAAAAAAAATAAAGTCCTTTATTCTTTTATTTTATTTTTTTGCTTTTTTTTTGTTTACTGCTTTTCACAGATATCCACGTTCGTTTATATATATGCGCTTTATCTTATCCTTAAAGACATTTATTTTCAATTTTTCTTCTTTTTTATTTTTGATTGTTTATCGTTTCTCGTTCTATTCTTTTTAGACCATCCAACCGCACTGGATAGCTCTTCCCCAGCAACTGATCTTACCAGTCAACATTAATTTTTCTTTATGTCTATTGCTTTTGCAGTTGGGTCAATTCTTATCTTAAAAATTCATTCATGTTTGGCGTGCGCAGTGCAGTTAACCGCACTATTGAAATCTTTATGGTGACGCGTGAGTATATCATACCGAAGAGCGCATACAATTTTATTTTCTTAAACAAAATTATCTTTCTCTCTTCACATTTATATTACTCTTAAGAATGAATTTAAAAAAAAAAAAAAAAAAAAAAAAAAAAAAAAAAAAAAAAAAAAAAAACAGAAGAAAATAAACATAGAATTGAAAAAGAAAAGCCGGCCGGTTTCATTATTATGACAGGCAAAGGTTCTTTTCGCGCTGCTAAAATAGAAAAAAAAAACGTAGGTGCGTTCATATTAATTTCCTTTTTATGGAAATTGTTCCGCTCCACCAGTGGATTGCAAATGTTTGAATAAAAATATTTATTTTATTACATAAGCTTGCTTTGCTGACCGTAGCAGTAGTCTTAACATTTGATTTCATTTTGATTTAAAAAAATATTAAACCAATCAAAGTGTAAAGGCTTTGTAAGGAATGTCTTTATACCTATCATCGGACTGTAGACATCAGACCGGTCATATGCGTTCGTTCGTTCCGCCTGGCCGATTGTCGGTCTATATGTCCCTTTTCATCGCAAAAATTGACATGTTCTCTACACAAGTATAACTACGAACAGTTTCTTCAGTTTAAGAGAATGTGCGCGTGTGTGTATTATAATGAAATATAATTATAATATAATGTTAATTTCAAAGGAACAATAAAAAAAAAGACTTTAATTCAAAAGATGTTGCATCGCTAGTTACAAAACAATGCAACAATTACTTTTCTTCGCATCGTCCGCGAAAGATTTCACTTTTAGTTTTCGCCTCTCCATCTGCCTCCCATTCAACTTATGTGATATCAATCCGTTGACCATCTTAATCTTTTCCATTATGTGTTCACTATCCCGCTTGATTGCTTCCCGGATTATTTTTCTATTCAAGCATCGTCTTCGTGCAAAAATGCCTTTTCAACAGTTTTCATCGTGCCTCGAAGCAATCGATATGATTCTGCAGCGGTTGCGTTCAAATGAAAACAAAAAATTATTTGCACAAATACTTTTCCCATTTATCGCTTACGCTTACAAAGCGAGTGACGGACGTTTATTGATTCTCAAATCCCCATTTCATAGTAGCACATCGGGTCAAACAAACCTATCTCACTATGAATAGCCGAAACACTCGAATGATAATATTTGATATCCATATATATATATATATATGTTATCATATATGCGGCACACGTACGGTCATCCGTCTTTAAACGCCTTTTCTTCGTCGGATCGCATGTAGTTAATGGAGAAGAACTTTCGAAAAGAAAGGAATACACTACGGAATTGCGCTCAAATGAAGTACAAAATATTCACGCATGTGGCGTAATTTAAACGCATTCAAAAGCAAGGAACTGAAATATTATTTTAATTACATGAAATTTACAAATAGCCAATGCAAATGTATGAATTTCGCCTGTAGTTCGGGATGATGTTAGCCCTAACTTTGCATTATTGCTTCTTTTTCTCTCCTTGTGATCTCACCTCCCTTGCGAAAATATTCAAAAAAATAAAACAAGTTCCAGAATTCTATTTCAATTTTAAAGACCGTGAGAAATACAGACAAGCAGATGGGCCGGAATCTTCCTTTTCGCAAGGAACAATTGCGTTTATTCATTAGAGATGGAAAGTGAATTTTCGACAGAACCCGTTTGCATGTATTCCTCCAATTGGATAGATCTCTTCATTATCTTTAAAATTTGTCCGTCGACATCTGTGTACTTATAACAAGAAAACGGTTTCTTTGTTGTCAAAAAGTTAAATACGCATCATATACTAAAAGAAAGAAGAAGAAAGATGCGCCTTGTCCGGAGAATAAAAGTGAGTTTAGAAATTTCGGAACAGATTTGTGAAATATTGTTTTGAAAAATTTCATCTCTAAAAGACTGCACACTCATTGCTAATACCTCGTCAAGACAGGAAACAGGGCTTTGAACGATTCTGTCAAGCTTGGCACGGCACGAGATCGTTGAATTTATTGTATGTATTTATGCATGGTCACAAATTCATATCAAATATCTTTCACGCACACATTTGAAATCTATAAGGAGTTGTGAGAGTTAGAGACAAACTTCTTATTATGTCTGGTGTTGCCAGAATTGAGGAAAACACACAGCCAAACTGGAATTACTTGGAGTCTACCCAATAACCCTACCTTCGGCAAGTTTCAAATTAGATTTACAAGCGACTTTTTTAAAGGTGTCCAACAACAATTTTCCCTAAGCACTTAAATAGTGGAAGTCCCCATATCTATTTAATTTATTTCACCAATACATTGCCTACTTAGAGGATTACCTTTACTATGATGTTTTCTAATTGAAGTTAAAAAAAAAAAAATGAAAGCATACCTTTGGGATAAAAATAGAATCGAAATTGGCATTATTTATACCGATTAAAAATTCAGTTTATGACTTTTTGGTTTTCCGTCGTATATTCTAAGGCTATGCCGTATAATTTGTTTTGTTTAAAGACAAGATGGTATCTAAAGTAATTACAATGAGTTAATCAAATAATTAATACGTAGTTCCCTTAAACTAAAGATTTTGGAAAATACTAGAGAAAGCGCATAACGATTTTTAAACATGGATTTTGGTGTTCGAACATTTCACTAGCAACCGAAGCAAAAACATTATGTATTCAAGATGGAATATTTCATTAGCAACATTCCTTAGCAACATTATTGCAACGTTTGCATATAATTTGTTATAAAAGTGTTTCGTCATTACATCGTTTCAATATAACTTGGCGTCTTTAGTTCTGTGTTCGTAATTAGAGACTTAGTTTGTTTTATATGTGCACCCTTGCTGATATTATTTAATTTTAATACTTACACGTTTGTTGTTGACGGCGCAATGAATCGTAATTTAGCAAAGATACGAACCTTGAGAATGGGGCTTAACTTATGGAATCTGGGCGGTTAACTTGTAAAAGAAAAAAAAAATCAAATTATATGCCTTAAAGACACTTAATAAAGAATTATTTGCAAATTTTGAAAAACGAAAAAAAAAGGAAAAAAAATCTAGATTTTAAACTAATAAAACTAATAAAACAAACACCGAAAAGTCAAGAGGTCGAAATTTCTCAAACACTTTTTCTCAATCACTTAACTGCAATAAATTGTAGGCGTAGTTTTGCTCTATAATATATGTCATCGTTATGCTGGGATCACATTGGGCGGATTACAAATATATTTTGTAAACTTTATATTTACATATGTATTGAGATGGATAAGGTTAATAAGTAATCGATAGCAATGAAATGTATATGGTGTTCATTAAATGTTTGATATATATATAAACACATATATATATATTATTTTTAATAAATAATATTTTCAAGATGATTTTGAAGAAACGAAAGAAAAAAACATGTTGATCGATATGATTTCATTATCAGGATTGTTTTCTTAGTTAGGTACAAATCCTAAACTCTGGTTTTATTATATATAATATAATGAATTTATATATAAAACTAAATTAATTATATAAAAAATTTACTTAATAGATATACATATATATATATATATATATATATATATATACACACAAGCTAAGTAAATGGAAAAAAGGAAGACAATTGAAACAACTGTAGGAAGATACATAGATAAAACCCATGACATTTTGTATATGCATCTGCTTATACTCGATACTCTCTCTTTCTCTCTCTTTCTTTCTCTCTCTTTCTTTCTCTCTAATATATGTTAAACATTATTCCATACATGATATATAAGGGAGAAGGTATCCACTTATCCACATATCCATGCATATATTTTCATATAAGGTATGAACTATTAATTAATTAAAGAACAATTAATAACATTATACATTTACGTATAGAAGCGCAACAACTACATGGCATATTGATATATAAAAGTGATAAAGTGTACCCTCTGGTAACCATGAAGACAAACCATGACCAGGTATATCTATGGCGAGGAATGGCAAATCCGGGGGAGGGTAAGGAGCTTGGTGGGCTATCTTCACTTCAGTTAATATTGAGTTCATATAATAATAACAATTATCTTTACTACAAAGGCCTGAAATATTTTCGGGAAGGCAACCATTTAAAATAATTGCTAACGCGCGTACTGCAATATCTCAAGGATGGTGTGCCTAATAAACAGGAAAAAATATATATGACAGATGTTAGCAAGAATAAGTATAAGAACAATTTTTTGGTAATAAACGAACAGATATATAGCAAAAGAATAGTAATCCCTTCACTAAAAATCAAAATTGAAGGTTCTATTGCTTTCGTTCATACATATAATTGCTGAAGCAAACGCACGCACACGCAAACGCGAGCATTTCCACTACAGCACTAATACATGTCCATTGAATATATCATGCTATAGTACACAAATGTTCATAGGCTTACAAGGCTTTCGTTTATATTTCCGATCCTGCATTGCGACATAATAATTTTGTTGCGCAAATGTTGCTAGCGAAATGTTCCATCTTAATTATATAATGTTTTTGGTGGAGTTGAACATTGAACAAAACCCAGTTTCGAACCAATCCCATAAGGCGGAAAAATAAAGAAGCTCGATTAATAATAAAAAATTCAATGGACCATTTTCTCATATGCTAATCGGTTCTGGAACGGGAGAAATTGCTTGAAGGCCAAAAACCCAGAAGGAAGCCGAGGTCAAAGACCAAAGATGATACATATATTCCTGAGAAGCATCAAATTCTGAATTAATTTAAGCATTTCCGTCTGTCCGTGTTTACGCCTGTATAATATCTGTTATAAGTATTCCCCAAACTTTTCAAAGAACACGCCTACAACGCCCACAAGTGTATGTAACGAAGACTGCGTGAAAACTTTTGTTTTCCCTCTCTCCTGCTCATTACGCATAAAGTGCA